AACATGGCGGCCTTGCCGCACTCGTACTGCACGTGCCTGCGCATGTTTCCTCGGTGTTTGTAGATCTTTCCACAATTTTGACACGGGTACCCCACGTCGCCGTCAATCTTTCTCAGGTACCAAGAACCATCTTCGCCTGGAAAAAGATTCTGCTGTACTCGGTACCAGTAGGTTTATTTCGACGCATATTTTGGTCTTTGGCTTTTTGCTGAGTGTTTTTAGGCCTGTCATGAGTTTTTTGCTTGGTTAAATCATGTAATGTTCTCGGTTTCTGTCTAATTTGTGTAATTTTTACTTAGCAATAGTGAGTGAGCCACCGAAAGCATTACAAGAATTGAAAGGAAATTTTAACGAAAACTAGGAAGTCTTTTAGAAGTGAACATGTATTGACTAGAATTATTTTAACAATGTAATGAAAATAAGTATATTCAAGCTGTCTGGATGTAGTCTTGAAAATGGCGTGGTTGAATGAACCGTCCTGTAACAAAACCAGGAATATTTAGCATTTTTTTAACAGACTAACCAACCTAGTGTATGAGATTTAAAGCACATCTACTATTCAATCGAAAAAAAACTGTCAGAATTGACGTGGAAATGAATGTCGCTGTCATTTTATACGAAAAATCATGTAGTGAATGACATAGATCGTCATTCCCAAGTAACTTGACAGTTTATTTTTCGATCGAAAAGAGACATCTATCTGATAATCAACATCTGTACTAGAAAATATAATGCCTTAAAATATTTTTATATCAATTATCAGACAAATTTAGTAATTTACCTGATAATATTTATAGCAAATGTAGGCCAAATATAAAAACATTGAAAGGGTCTTTTATTTTACATATTCTATTCCGTACGATCGAAAAAAAAAACAGCGTCGTCAAGTTACCTTAGAAATGACAATCGATGACGTTCATCATAATTTCTCAGGTGCCTTAACACCGTTTTTATCACACAGATCAGACAGGTCCTAATATTTATAAAAGTAAAATATTAGGACGTGTATTCAAACAATCATGAGAAAAAAAACTATCAGAGTAGACATATAAATGATCAAAAAAAGATCGGTATTATCTTATATAAAAAAGTAATCGATCGTCATTTCCAAGCCAACTTGACGCGATTTTTTATCTTCCGGAATATCTTTGGTAATCTAAAATTTAAATTTCAGCGAAATCTCAAAAAATAAGTTGGCATCACAGGCTCGAAACTTTAAATAAAAACGCACTTTAAAGAGTGTTTTATACTTTAACCATATATATACTTACACTTCTAAAGAAAGTCGTAATAATCTCTTGTGCTGGATTTTCTTGGCAGGTTCCTTGTCCCCTTCTTGATTCTTCCGTGATTCTTCATCCAATGTCCTTGGTTGCTCTCCTGGTTGTCATCTCATCTTGACGGACGAAGAGGAAGGATTGTGGATAAAAAGGAAAAACAGGTTGAACGGAAAAAAAATAAAAGGGTCTTCTTTCTTGGTTTAGGTTCCATTTCACCCTTATTAACCCCTTAATTTTACATTTACATAAAACCCCTTTGATAGTAAAAAATCATAAAACAGAATATTAAAGAAAAATAGAAAACTCCCTTATATTAAAAATTTAATATTGAATTGAGTGCACTTTCTTTTCATGAACCCTTAGTACATCCCTTCTAGTGAACCTCCTCATACAAATCCCACAAGTAAACTGTCTAGCAACCCCGCACTCATATTTCATGTGTCTTTCCAGACTATATAATACAGAGTAAGCCCTCCCGCACCTAGTGCAAATATACGGCAAGATCTCTGCAAAAAACACCAACGCATTTGTCAGACGAACATACCACACTCGTTCAGAGATAAAGAACACCAACCTTAAAGTCCCCTAGTCCCTGAATCTCAGTAAAGTTTTTTTAACTAAAATAACTCGGATCAAAATAATTTGCCAAAGTATACAAACCCCCTTGGTCCGAGCTAATTTAGTAAAGAAAACTTCGTTTCAGCCATCACGGTGAATTAGAGGGACGGAGAATAGGAGCACAGTATTTGGTTGGCCTCCTATCTCAATAAACATACAAACATCCACATTCATGCAAGAGTTTTTTATAAAAACCTGGCCGTATTTAAAATTTAGCTTTTTTATATAAAATGATAATAACTGATGTAATTTTGGACAATAACTAAAGTCTTGTATGATCAAGCAAACCTTGTATGATGGTTGAAAAATTGTTATGATAAAATACACAAAAACTTCTCAACTATAATCCAAGTCCACTTGACCACAAAGAATTTTTAATCGTATTGTAAATTGTAACTAATGTAATTTGATACAATACAATAAATTCTGTATGATCAAGCAAACTTTGTATGATTGTCAAAAAATTTTATGGTAAAATACATAAAATTTTTTCTTTGATATCAAAGTCAGCTTGACCATATAGAATTTTTAATCGCATTGTATCATGTAATTTTGTACAGTACAATCAAAAAGTTTTGTATGATCAAGCAAACTTTGTATGATCGTTGAACAATTTTTATGGTAAAATACATAAAAACTTTTCAACTATAAAATTCAAAGCCTGCTTGATCACAAGAGTTTTTTAATCATATTGTATGAATACAACTAAAACCAATGTAATTTTGTGAATACGATCTAAAAGTTTTGTATGATTAAACGTATTTTGTATGACAGATAAAAAATTCTCAAGAAAAATACATGAGAATTTTTTCAACTGCCAAAACCAAAACTTACTAAATCATAAAACCCTTTTTATCGTATGGTATGCATGTGTTGTGTGTGACTAGATTAGCATTAATTTGAAGTGACTTTTTAATGTAAAGTAAAAAAAAATAGTTTGAGTTGTTTTTCGATCCCTAAGCATCTTGTTGAAATAAAGCAGAAGTAGCTTTAGATGTTGATTTTTTTGATTTTTGAACCAAAATGTCAAAAATCAGTATTATTAAAACTTTGCAGCACTTTCTTCAGGCAAAGCAATAAAAACACTTTTAAAAAGACCAAAATATTCGCCAGAAACCAAAAATATTACTATAAACAAATAACATTTATAGTAATAAAACCACAATCTTCTCTAACAATGTTAAAATATTTTAACATTGATATTTTCCGATGACTCACCTTATTTCTTCATTAATGAGTGCTTATTTTTGTAGAATCAAATTAAAAACTACAAAAATAAAAAACACTACTAATACAAAATAACTTTCAAAGAAAAATAAAAGTAGTTATTTCTCAAGAAAGATATTTTGTAGAGAATAATTTGCTGTTGGGTGAAACTGTTCTGTTCAGTAAAATTACTGAAATCTAATAAAGCTCTTAAAAGAAAAGAAAAATATTAGAAATCAATAAATTTAGATGAACTGAATAACAACGGGATGAAGAAATGAAAACTATAATCTACAAAACGTAGATTATGAATTTAACAACCATTCACATTACAAACATGTAAAGTGAATTCAGGATTTTAAAATAGCACAAAGAAAAATTTCTTGTGCTAAAAAACACAGCGAAGCACTTCCTCCTAAACAAATACTCATTTTTGACGAAAAGTATTGCCAAAAAAAGTATCGTTTGAAAAAATTGACCTTTTCGCATAAAGTACTCAAAAAATATTGAGTACATACTGCAAAAAGGCAGGGTCGGTTCAAATGAACACGGCAAGACTCAAAATGCGAGCCATGCCGCACCAAAAAAAATACAAAAAAATGTACAAATTAAAAAAAGGACAAAGGGAAATAATGTACACAGTAAAGCATGCAACATGATAGATACTTTGTTAGACCAAAAGTAAAATGAGATAGAAGGCCAACAGAATACCGGGGACACCAAACAAACGATAACAACTGCCACGAGAAATAATGTTCTTTTAGCTTAAACTCGGAAGCCCCAAGAATGCGACTCCTTCCAAAACAACAAAAAAGACACATTGATATCGCTTGTTTAGCACCCCACCAAAAAAAAAGAACACCCAAAAAATACACGGTTGTAATCGCATGGCAAAACTTGTAATTAAAAGGATAATAATAGGATGTTAAGTAACTGCTAAGAAAATTAAAACAAAATAATAATCGAAAAGAACGTTAAAATTAAAACAGACATCCAAAAAATATACGCCGAGACTTTTGACAGTCTCCGATTCTTCTGATAAGAAACCACAACGTTGCCACAGATTGAGATTGTTATTTGATTTGACAGGTCAAACAAGAATGGTCTTGGCGTTAAAAGTAATAACAGCCAATACATTCTTGGACTAAAGAAAAGTAAGTAAAACCGAAGTAAAACGTGTGGAGCTGGCAACGTTTTGATGACTTTCCCCGTCTCCCTTCTTCTTACCTTAAAACTTGTATTAAAAAATCGCGATTTTGAGAAAATTAAATTAAAAACAACGCACGATGTTATCAGGATAACAATCGTATATATATTTCTATTATGTCGTTAGCTGAATAACGACTTGTCTTAATAACAATATAGTTTGTTAGCAGAATAACAAACTTTAATAACTGGTATTAAACAGAATAACACCAGTAATTTAATTTAATAATTTAATTAATTTATTTATATTTAAGTAAAAATACGGATTTTTGAGTGAAACTGCAACAACGGCTGCGTAGACTTCTCTAAGGACCATCTAAGGGAGCAGGGCGAACAAATATCAACCTAATTTCCTACTGCCAACTACAGAAAGCTAAATAAAGGTTATAGATCGAAGCAAACCAAGTAAGACTGTACACAAGCAAATAAGAGTTAAATCAAAAGCTACCCAAAAATAAATAAGTCAAAAACTAGAAAAACTAAAAATTAAATCAGAGACTGGACGACTCGGGTGGAGAATTGCCTTGCGACATACAAGCGTGTTAAAACTCGAATGCCTATCTGAAGTCGGCTTTAGATCGAGACGGTTTTTTCTCGGTTTAAATCTTGGAATGTAGAATTTTTTGATGAAAGCTTGAAGCCTCTTTCAGAACGGTATAGGAGCTGTTAAAAATGAAACAAAAATCTTACCTTGTGAGTCCCTGTGTGCGCCTACCGCTTCTTGAGCGGCTAAAAATACCTCGTCTTGTGATTGATTACCCATTTGCCAATGTCCAAATCCTAAGGAGAAGAAAAAGGTAACACACCATACATTTTAATGACCGTTTTTTAATTTGGTAATTTCTTTTAAAAACCTCTTATATCACCAATATCAGTCCTAGTAAGATCATTAGTTCTTGGTATAAAATATTTATTTTACACACTAGACGCCCATTTCACAAAAACAGCGAGTCAATATTAACATAAGTTTTAACATAGTTCTCTGACCATCATAAGACAAGACACCTAGTCTTGAAAATTGTTTAGTTCAATCTCATTACAAAAGACAATTAAATTAATGCATTAAAAAATAAAACAAACCAGTCACAAGTTGTTCTCTATTTTAGTAATTTCCTTTAAAACTAGAGTTAGATAATAATATTAAAATATAATTAATGACATTTAGTACAAATGTGTTGAACTTCTGCATGCTGTTTGCACACACCGTTATTGCATATGAAGCACCGATTTCGAGTCTTTTTATCTCTTTTCCTGCCACACAAATGACATCTGCCAATTTGAGACATAGAACGTCCAGGGTTTTTGGGTCCTAGTGTGAGACCACCTGGGGTACAGAAAAATACCGTGTTAAACATTGCGTCTCATCCGAAACCAATGACAAGAAAAAGATAAAACAATTCTGGGGATTGTAGTTGCAATAATTTGAAGATAGAATAATGGAAAAAATTAACACATCTTTTTCAAAGAGTTTCATATTCATAGAAAAACCACTCTAAGGTACACCTGCACCCCACCTGAGCTTATAAAGATAAAGATTCAAGATGTTTTGTGTACTGTGGATGTGTATGATATTCTAGTAGCCAAAATGTATGTAATAAGGTTATTCAGAAATTTATGTCAAAATGAACGCTTAAATATCAAAATGTTTTCATTACATGTTTTCAAATAAAAAATTACACCTAAACCTAACCCATAAAAATACTTTAGTGTAATACATCCCACATCACTCAGACAAAAAAAAATGATCAAATAAAATTTCGAGAACGCTTCAAAGAAAGTACCGAAGTATTCCCAAAAAATTAATTTTCCTTCAATCGTTTGTGTAAATGAAGAAGATAAATACACACTAAAACGTAGTTTTATAGGTTAGGAAAATCTGCAACCAAATAAAACTGAGACACTTTGGTACAAACTAACATAAATTTCATCAAAATCCAAGCCTTTCAATATACAGGGTGTCCCAGAAATAAGTGCAAATATTTAAATTTGTAGTATACATTAGCCCCACAAACACGCCTATGAGGATTTTTGCGAAATAAATTGTTTATTTTTTTTTATATTTCTCTCAACATTTTCCGGGAAATTTTAAAAAACTTTTTAGTGCCACTTGTTTATTCACCTGAGGCGTCGAATAAGCCTCGTGAAAAGTCCTGAATAGCCGGTTATCGCCAGCGGCTCTCAAAACGCTGCCATTATTTTTTAAAATTTTCAAAGTTAAAAACTCAGTTATTTTCAATGTATTTTAAAAGTGGTAAAGAGAAAAGATTCAAAGAGAAGAGATTTCTTTTGACCAGATCTACCACCCCTTAAAATATCTGCACTTACTTCTGGGACACCATGTATATTAGAAAAACTAATTTGCACTGTTTATAGAAACCTTTAAAAGATGGATAAGTAATGTAAATAAAAAGTATTAGATTTTATAAATACCATAGTTTGGGGCGAAATTGATAATTACATGGTTTAGTCACATTTTTAAATTTAGCGCCAAATTTATGCAACTAGAATCAGTCTTGTTTAGTAAAGCTTTGATGACAAGACGTATGCAGTCAGGTGTGCCATTTTTTATCTATTTTTTGCAAAAAACGCGGTTAAAATTAATTAACTAAAATTAAAATTTTAACCGCGCTTTTTGCAAAAAATAGGTAAATGGCACACCCGACTGCATACGTCTTGTCATCAAAGCTTTACTAAACAAGACTGATGCACACCACTGCTTCTAGTTGCATAAATTTGGCCCTAAATTTAAGAATGTGACTAAACCATGTAATTATCAATTTCGCCTCAAACTACGGTACAAAAATTATTTGAAAAAAATGTAGTCAATGAAAAATCAAAGATCATATATTGTAAGCTTCAGTTAAAACAAAATTGAAAAATAGTTAATTTAAATATATACGGTAATTAAATCGAAAAAAAAATGGCGTCTAGTTGGCTGGGAAATGACGACCAATGACATTTCCCATATAAATTTACATATAAAATAACAACGATCTTCATTTCATAGCCATCTCTGGCGCCGTTTTTTTCGATCATGCGGTTAAAAGTATTATAGGAATTAATTAAAATCAGAAAACTGAAAGTACAAAATAATAATTAGATGTCTTTATGATCCATGTAAAAATGACAGCAACATACATATTAATGAAATCCTATTTTAGCAACCTGAGCAGTAATTTTTTTACGAGTTTTTAAGTAAAAATTCAGATTTTGTCCCAAAAGTGAGTTTAAATTTAGACATGATATCAATGAAACATTTTCAGAATAACATGTTATAAAACTCGTTAATTATTAGATAACTAATAATACATACAACTGATCATCCACAAAAATGTTGGGTCTTTTTTTATAAAATACCAAATAAAAAAATATTAAGGGATTACAGGAAAAACGACTATCTTAGAAACATATTATATTTCATAATAGAGATAATTATAAATTAATCAATAAATTCCGAATAAATTATACAATTAACCAAAACTAATCAGCACTTTCTAAACACGTTTGAACTAGCCCCTTTGTTGCCAGAACGTGTTGCCTCATGTTAATGTTCAACTTTTTCAAATAAAACTGTAAACTCGTCCGCTTAATGCCGTACTTAACAGATGCGCGCGACACGCTCAAACCCAAATTCAAAATGGCGTCCAGCGCCGTGTAAACCATTTCGTCCGAGTACTTTCGGCGGGTGCCCCGTAATGTCTTGAACAAGCTGCTTATATCAATGTGGTCGCCGTCGCCCTCATATACGTGGTAGCCGAAGCCGTACACATCTGCGAACGAAACCAAAACAAAAAATTTGGTTTAGTTCCATTTCATCACGAATGTCGGCTTGTGTTTGTTTAATCAAAGCGAAAGAAGGAAGGTTTTCAAACTGTCGCCCGAGCCTAGAAGAGAGGCCGGGGTTGGTCGAAAAACTTCCTTCTGGGCATGTGCAACTTAATTTAGTGTCAGTATATGAGGGCATAGACATATATACGGCTACATCTTTAATTGATTTTTTGAAAAAACTCCATGTCTAAGTAAGACAGGGAATTGCTCAATAAATTTTTATCAGTATATGACATCATTGATAACTCCAGATGTATCTTTGTAATCAGGAATAAATAAAAGTAATTATTCCCAAAAAGTTTCAAAAATACAGCAAGAGTTAAGTCAATTTATTAAATGTGGTAATGCAAAACATTTATAGATAAGACGTCAAAAGTAAACGCATTATCTAAAAACATGTTATCAAACAAACCACTTGTCATAATAAAGATAAAAAATGTTAAGTCATTCTACGTCAAAAGAAAAAAAATTGTGTAAATAAGATATTAATAAGTTAAAATACTTCAATGACTCAAATTTTCCGTTATTCTGGGCTAATGTAACGAACTGTCTTAGTTTTGGTTAATTTTCCTAACTTAGATTAAGAAATTAAATATTCTTTCAAGTATTTCAATTAATTGAAGCAACTTTCATCAATTCAAAGGAAAATTCATAAATATTTTTTTATATAAATTGGATGGTAGTAACCTCAAGCATTTTATGAACATCAGACCAACAACTTATTGCGAATAATTATCTTAGCTGTATTTATTGTGTACTTTCATTACAAAACTATTTAAGTTCATTACTTATAATTCCTAAAATGTTACCTTTTATAGAGCCTAAATTTTAAAACTATTTTTACAGACAAAAACTGCATTTTTATTAGATAATATTAACTGGCCAGGCAAATAATGTTACTGTCAAAGCAGGATTTAATTAAGTAGATTATAATGCCAATTTTAATAAAGAACAGAACATCGGAACAAATAACTATTAAAGATTTTCAATTCTTTCAAATTCAAATGGATTTCTATAATAACTATATTTAAGCAATCCATTTTTCAGTTTTAACTGAAGGAAGTAAAAGTTAAATGTCTCCTTTAGCTGCAAAAAGGAGACAAGCTTTTTAACTGAAGGTTCCAATGTAGTTTTAGTCCAAAATCATCCTAAAAACAGTTAATTTTTTTCCAATGCTCGGTAGTATAATTGAATAACAAATATCTCATCTTGGCACTATTAAAGTATAAAATTTGTGAATGTATATGGACAAAAATAAATATTTAAAAGCCTAATATTGGTTATGCATCAGCTGCCTAAATTTCAGAAATAAGGGTTTATATATTCTAACCACACTTTTCAGTAAAAGAAATTGTTTTGTAAAAATAATGAAGGTTAGACCTTATAGCAGTTATTTTCAGAACAATATTAAAGAAAATTATTCATGGAATATAATCTATGTAGTTCTACATATTTTTTTAATTTTTATATTACTGTCCGAGAACAAAAATTAAGTCAAAACATCAGTTAAAATTAGGTGTTCCATTTTCTTGCATATTTTTAGTAACTTCAAATGACAAGAATCATTTTCTTGCCTAATTTTGATTTCTTAAATATATAAAAAGTAAAATCAAAATAGAAATACAACCGAGAAAACAAATAATCAAGTAAATATGAACAGAAAGGCAGAAATCAAGTGAACAAATTTCATAAAACTCTAGTAATTTTTGCTTGAACTTTAGGACTATTATCCCTAAGTTGTTAAGTTGTCATTATACCAATGTGCTTTAAATTATTTTGTATATTTCACCAAAAATGTCAGTGACATTGGAAAAATTGGTTCCCCCAATTATTCAAGATTATATTTAATAATTTGGCAGTTTATGAAGTTAAGCGTTGCAAAAAATACAAAAATAATCAAGTATAATATTTCCAAAATCAATTGGAAATACTGTAACTATAATCATTTGTCCAAACGATGCAGAAAAGTGTCAAGCCCAACATATCGGTTTCAGAAAAAATATACTTATATAGTTGGCTTCCTAAACTTGTTAAAAATTAAACAGTGCATACCAGCAAAAACAAAGAATTCCCCAGACTGATTATGGTAATATACAGAGGTTATTTAATTCCGTTTAAATTCGAGTATCTCGATGAACGCAAAATGGTGATTTAATAGCAACAATTACCTTGCTGTGATGATCCCTCGCCTCCGTGGCTCGGTCCCGCACCTTCGTCAACTTGTTCCATATTGCTAATGTCGTCGTCGTCCAGCGTTAGGTCCTCGATACTGTCCTCGTTCATTTCCTCGACGTATTCCGACTTGGGCTCGAGCATCAGTTCCGTATGCGTTTCGATTTTCTCTTTGATCATGGGTACCGTTTGCTGCGAGCCCGTTTCCTCTTTGTGCCTGGTCAGAATTTCCTGTTTCGTTTCAATTTGGTCGGATAGGTCGTTATTGGAGTTCAGTTTAGCGGTGGATAGTTGCGAGGTAGCCAAGGGAATGTTTTGGGCAGGCATGCTGTGGCTGGCGTCGGAGGAGTTGGACGCGTCATGGTTGTCCATCTCCTCGCTCTTGCGCCGCATTCGTTTTTTCTTTCGAGGACCCGGCGACATTGAGCCTTCTCTGGAATAAGCGAAAATAGCGCAATTAGTAATCTGAACACTTAAAACTTTTAACTAGACTAGTTTCTAACTTTGCCTTAAATTGAACTTAAAACACTGATTTTCTAACTGTAGAATTATTCCTCAAATTTCATAGAATCGACAGATTAGACTTATGGGGCTAATTTTCAATAAAACTTATTTGGTTTAAACATCTCCAAAGACTCTGCTACTATCAAAAATTATGAATCTTGTAAAAAATTTATTAATATAATCAGTAAATGAATGGACAATACAGGCTTTATGTTGGTCACAAATGTTGCCAGTTTTCAAATTTTTTTTAGAATTTTAATGTAATTTTCAATTTTATTGTAATAAAATGTCAAAGCCACTAAATGCTCAGAATCAGCAACTTGTCTCATCTCTAATCAATTATTTTGAACAGAAAAGAGATCACAGCAAACCCCTTTTGCTGTAAAACTGAGTAGTGGGGGTAAAAAATTGATATTGTTTCTAAAAATACAGATCTTTCAGGGTGTTTCAGCTGAGTGAGTAGAATTTCACAAAAAGTGAAAACTGATAACATTTATAGTTTTAGCTATTATTCAGATTACTTGCAAATAACTTTATTTAATTAGAATTTGTGTAATCATAGACAAAGTAATAATAAGATATAAAAAAATATTTCTAAATGTATTGTCCTAAGTGAAAAATCAGTGACATAGAGAATTACAATTTTTTAATTAACATGTCAAAAATTAAGGTTACAAATAGTAACCTTGGCAACATTGCAATGTGCATTCACCAAATATTTTGATGACGTAATATCAACTTTTATTGACTTTTCTATAATTTAAAGATAATTTAAGTACTTTAGTTATTTTTCTTAATTCTTTAAATAAGAACAAATTCAACAAAAAATAAGTTGACAGGGGCAATAATAATGAACTTGTTGAAAAAAAGACATTATCATATAAAATTGAGGAATTCATCATTACAAAATCAATGGTTAGTAAATATGTAAACAAAAATAAAGAATATTTACCTATCATCGCGGCTTCTCTGCTCTATCGTCAGACCTTGGACTTTGGGTAACTGCGCTTGGGGTTGGGGACTTTTAGGTGCCGCAGGGGCGGGTGCCGGCCTCTTTGCTGGCGGCTCATCTTTCTTGTTATCGCTCAGTCCTTTGATTTGTAATGATTCGGCAGCCTTTAACAAAGCCCCCAACTGGTCTTGCGATATGTTCACCTCGCCCCTGTACATGTAGTCCATCATGGCTTTCAGTTCTTGGAATTTCACGTCTTTCAGGATGAGGATCGGGTGTTTGTCGTAATGCCGAGACAATAATGCCTATAAAGAAAAAAGGAAATAATTAACTCACATCAAAAACTCTTTTGAATTCAAACAATTCAAAATATAGTATTTCAGAAATTAATTTTAAAGAGTCCCAGCCAACTTCCAACTGACTGGAAAAACTATATATAAATTTAAAATTTTATAAAAAAATAGTGTGTATATTTACCTCAAAATATGGACTACACGCCGATAGGACGACTTTATGTGCATTAAGGAATTTACCCTCTGCCGCGAGGGTACAGTCAACCAATGTTCCATTTTCTAATAATGTGTCGAATACCGCTACTAATGTTGACTGATGATTATTCCACCTTAAGCAAAACTGTTGATCGTCGTCCATATTTATAGTAACTGTAAAAAAAAACAAAAAAAATTAACAATCAGTTCCCCAGAAATCTTCAAAAACATCAATCATAAACCGCGGCTATGTAAAATTACGAAATACCCGGATATTACCTAATTAAAAATAAACAACATTGATTTCCCTCAAAACACGAGACGAGTCTTTCAACAAAATGGCCGACAAGTGTTCTCGAAAATACATGAGCTAGTTTTCAGAGTGGACGTCGCGCATAACGGAACTCAGCAACCATGATGCCGATCAATAACGAAGTTTTTTTCTCTTTCTAACTCGCGCTAGCTTATAGAGGTGGAAAAGAGAGAGCAACGTTGAGTCCACGCAAGCTCAGTGTGCTCAGCCGGAAATCCATCCACGTCAGCTACAACACGGGAAAACGAAGCGTTGGCAATGGAGACAAAATGGCCGATTTCCCATGGAAAGACTTCGAAGTCCGAAAATTAAAAAATCCCTCAATATCCCACTTTTGCTAGCGAGATTTCGAATAAATACGCGGACGTAGCGTGTTTACGCGTTGAACCGTTTTCAGCTCTTCTAGAGCTTTCAGAGTTTAAAAGGAACACGCAAAAAGCTCAAAGTGTTCCACACGGCCCAACCCACGCGAATCTAAAAAACGACTTAAATCGCGAAAATATCCTGAAAATTTCTTAAAATATACATAGATATTAGTTATAAATGCTAAATATTTACCTTATTTGGCACCTATACACTAAATATCACAATAAAATTCACTTAGGTATCAACTCTCAGAGAGATGACTAAATCTAGTGTTGAGTCTTCATGAGGCGGCTTCGAACTAACGAAAATCAACCGGGCCGGTCGGAGTGCTCTAGCGCCAGATGATACGACGGGCCGCACTGCACGTACCGGCGTTGACGTCGAGCCGCTGCGTAGACGATCAGTGCGCCGCTACGCCGTCGGACCGGCGAATCAGAGCTCGAGCTTTCGCCGCTTACCAGCCAAGCAGCCAAGCTTCACAGAATGGGAGCGTCTAAATCGTTACCGTCATATCCTCCCGGCGCAAGAAATAGATGAAGAGAGAGGCACGGTGAAAATGGGAAAGAGAGCGTAGTGATGAGAGAGGAGAGGAGCGGTTTTGATCCAAAACATAATAGTGAGCCTTGAGGTTCTAGTCGTAAGGTCGGTTTTCCCATGAAAATCATTTTTTCTGGGTGAGCGTTTTTAATCATCGCGGGCTTTCCTGAGTCATACAAGTTGGGTCCTGACGACTCGCCGGCAACGACAGGTAAGAATCCTGTTCATTGCCTCTTGCCTCATCTATTTTCATGTAAATACGAAGGTTTCTCATAAGCGCCGGTTAAAATAGAATAATCTTGGACTACGAGCGAGCGTTATAAGAGCTGAGATCGAGTCGATGCGAATTAAAATTTGGCGGGAAACACGAAACGTTTCTCAATTAATTTTAAACGCAACCGTACGGTACGCGTATTGGTTGTAGCCGTTGCTGAAAATCGGAATTTAGCCGACAGCCGACCATCGTCTTTTCTCTGTTCCGTTATTCGTAACTGATAAAAGAAGAGAATCCATTTAAGTAAATATGAAACTCAGCATATTTAAAGAGCAGAGTTGCGATTAGCTCTGTAATACAGGGTGCGCAAAAAAGTACGCAACTAATGGATTTATTTTATTATATAACGCAATCCAAAAAAAATATGCGTAATCAATGCATCATGTCCAAGATAACAATAAAACACATTTTGACAAGTCTCATGTGAAAACTGTCATGGCGGCAAATTATAAATATGCGCACTTTACATAAAGTATGCAAAAAATAGGATTATAGGCAAAATATCGAAAAATCTCAAAGGGAAAAGTTGTTTAGAATTAGATTTTACGTATATTTACCAATTTTGAACGGTATACAGGGACTTTCAGAAAATACTATTTTTTTGTCGTTGGATTTTAAATGATATTAATCCACTTTTTCCAAGTTTTTCTATACAGTGTGTCAAAAAAATAGTGTATCTAACTTCGGTGGGTGATTATACCGATAAAAATAAAACAAAAAAGTACCTATGAACATAATATGCCCTAATAAAATGCTTTTCCAAGAAATTACAGCTCTGGAAAGGTTAAGGAAAAATAATATATTTTTTTTTTATTTTTAAGAACATTGGTAAACAACAGTGAACGGTTTTCAAGATATTTTTGCGTTTTTCCGATTTTAGCATTAGCGAAATCAGAAATTTAATTTATTTCAAATTTGTTTATATTTCATCATTTCACTATAAAAATCTTGATAAAAAAAATCTTGAGAAATATCTTGAAAATCGTTCACCTTTGTTCCACCAAAAATGTTAATAATAAATTAGTTCTTCTTGTAAAGAAAATCCTAGGACATACTGTATAGAGATCGACAAACAAATAAACAAATAATATCTATCATAATCAAAATAATTATTCTAAATCAGTTCTAAATGATTGGATTTGCTACCGTATGATCGAAAAAAAAACGGCGTCAGGGATGGCTATGAAATGAAGATCGCTATCATTTTATATGTAAAATTAAATGGGGAATGTCGCATAATTGATCGTCATTTCCAAGCCAACTGGACACCGTTTTTTTTTCGAGCATACGGTATTTTACTGGAAAAAAATCATGTGTTAATTTCCTTCTTTACAGAAAATTATTGCGAAAGTTTAGTATTCTGTAAAGAAAGTGACATTTTTAATTTTTGTAAATTAGTTAGGGAGGTAAAGAAATATTATTTTAAGAATTGTTTTTTTAGACTTCGTTTTATACACGTGATACATTCGATAAAAAAAACGGTGTCAGAGAGGGCGTGGAAATGAAGATCTCTGTCATTTTTTAAGTAAATTATATGGAAAATGTCAATGATCATCATTTTCAGGCCAACTGGATGCCATTTATTTTTTTTGATTTTACGGTAGGTATTTCGAAGAATTGCCATGGCGACACCATCCATATTGATTGCCATTTTATTGAAAAATCGCTTTTTATTCAAAATCTGAGCCAGATAGGTATAGGAAACCCTAATATAGTTTGAAAGAGCATTTAAATATTCTTCGAGTTATTTAAAAAAATACATAGTGTTGCATTTGAAATAACAAAGTTTTTATGTAAAATAAATATTAAAAATAGACCAGCAATTTTTGATGCCCCTGTATACATTTAAGGAAGCAATTAAATTTTTTAATAAAGGCTTGAAAGTCAGCACAAGAATTAATTCTCTATCGGAATGTACAAGGTGTTGACAAACTTTTTATATTATAGCATGCATATTTAAATATCTTTAAATATCAAAAACCAAAGATTCTAAAGATATGAAACCCTTATAATAAATGCCTTATTTTATGTCCAAAAATCCAAAAATTAAATAAAATACCGGGTGTTCCATAAGAAAAAATATAACACTTTGGTATGGATCTTAGTTCTGACACACCCTGTACATTTCAAAATAATTTTAAATTATGCACATTGCCTTCCTAGATATACCCATAAAATATTTTGCTTCTACATCTTTCCGTTTTCGTATAATCAACCGAGGTGAATGAGGTGCCCGCCACCCTGTATATTATAGTCTAGATAAAAATTGAAACGATTTTTTTTTAGTTTCACTCGTGTTCAGCTGATCTGTAAACTGTATTTTATATCACTTTATCTGGATGTTTGATCGATAGAAAAATATATGTGTTTGAATCAATTTGTCAAAATTGATAAGAGAAGGAATGTGTGAGAGGTTTCGTTTTTAGAATTTTGGAATGTTTTCTTTATTTATTCCTGAATTTATTTTCACAAAAGACTATGTGTGTTATCAGAAATATTAAACCTGATTTTATTTTTACTGTTTTTTATTTGCCGTTTATGGTATTAAAAACTTGTTTGTTCCATTTATGTTGTTTTGTTGTTAAATCTGGAATACCTAACACTGCCCACAGATATTTTACAAAATAAAAGATGCTTAGAAGAACAGTTAGTTTGTGTTACTGAATAACTTTGAATGAAATTTAGAATGATTAATTTACTAATAAGATTTGGCAACTCAGATTACAATTATTGTCATAAATGGCCGGTTTGTCAAAGCTGAAACCGCAGCCTATTCATGACCAGCTTGTCGACTTAACGATACTGTTCATGGAAATCTGATGTCAAAATATCTTCTTGTGTCAAAAGATTCACAAAGTCGCATATTGTACTTAATTAATAAATGCCTTGCTAAGCAAATAAAATATATCTTTACTAGCGTGTACCCGCGACTTCGTTCGCGTCGAATTAATCATTTGTAATGGTGATGATAAAGCAAAGCAAGAATTCCCATTAACATACAAACTGGATAAAATTTTCTCACATTTATGTCAGCATGAGAAAAAAAGAATATGGCGATATTATTATTTAACTTGGTAGTATTTGAGGGGTAGTTTCATCTCGTTGGAATTTGACTTTCGAAAAATCCGTTTGCCAAAAATAAGCTTTTTACGTCAAGCAGTTTAAGCAGAGAATCGTGGTTAATCAATTACCCAACTTTTTGGAACACCCTGTGCGATTTTTTTAAAAATTATAAAATATGTAAAAAAAACAAAATAAATTATGCGTGTCCAAGCGTTTTCCCGAAAGACTAACCTTTTTTTAAATAACAAATATTGTAATATTTGAGGGGCGTTTTCACCCTCTTGGAATTTGAGATTCGAGAAACCCCTCCTTATCGATTCTCTATACTCCACAGTCAATCCGTTTGCCAAAAATCAGCTTTAAACGTCAAGCAGCAGAATCGTGATTACTCAATAGTCATATTTTATGAAACAACCTGTATAAATTTTTTAAAAAAACTCACCGGTTTTTAAATAAAAAATATTCTAATATTTGAGGGGTGGTTTCACCCCCTTAGAATTCGAGTTTCGAAAAATTCCTTCTTATCGGACCTCTACACCCTAAAGTCAATCCGTTATCCAAAAATCAGCTTTTTATACGTCAAGCGCTTTAAGCAGGATCGTGATTAATCAATGACCAGATTTTTGGAAGCACCCTGTATACATTTTTAAAAAATCTTAAAATATGTAAAAAAACAAAATAAAATATACGGGTTTAAGCGTTTTTTCGGAAATTTTACCGTTTTTTAAATAAAAAATATTGTAATATTTGAGGGGTGGTTTCACCCCCTTGGAACTGGAATTTCGAAAAATCCCTTCTTGTCGAACCTCTACACCCTAGAATCAACCTGTATGCCAAAATTGAGCTTCTTACGTTGAGTGGTTTGAGCAGGATCGTGATTAATCAGTGAGTTAGTCACTTAAGGATTTTATATATCAGTATAGATTGATGTAAGAAAGCATTATGAAAGAATAACTTAAATTTCATAAATAATGTAGTGAGGCTTTTATTTGTTCATATATTATTTCCCCACTGGTAATGGAACACCCTGTGGGATATTATTACATCTTCCATCGAGTGCATCGTTTCAGTTTACCATGTCCTTCGTGGTACGTCCTGCAGCTGGCAGATGGTTAGCTCCAAGTTTCGTTGTGTCGTGTGTCTGATGTGGATAAAAATATTTCCCCCTGCCTTATCTTTAATGGTAAACGTTCGACCATCGTTGTTCATAGACACCGTTCGTTATACCTACCGAGTGTGTCTCCAAAGTGGCTCACCCCTATAACTTTTTTATTTTTTCAGATAAAAAAACGAGATTTGGTATGTTAGTATATGACATATATTAGGATTCATTGACGTATTCAATTGTTTTTGGTCATTTCTTGTTTCGCCGGAAGTGACTACAACTTTTGATTTTTAAATGGCACCTTTGGTATATTTCTACTTTATTCGATAGAAAATGATACTCTGAATAGAATGACATTTCATATGTCAACTTTTCACATTTTCATTTAAAAAAAATCATATTTTAATTTTCAATCTAGAGTGCCATTGCTGGGTTAAAAACACTAATTTTTAATCAAGGAGCCTTGGAAAAATAGTTTTGATCGTCTAATGTTTTTCGTGTCTTGTCCTGGCCGGTTAAAAGATGCCCAAATCGTATTTTTAATCATATCTCAAGTATTTCAAATACAACAAGGGTGGCTCATTAGCATATTTGGAAAAGCATTTTTTTGTGAATAATTTGGTGCCACACACTTGGTATTTCGAGTTAAATTGTCGTTATAAACCGCATGTTACAATTTCAAATAAACCATATGCGAAAATGTCAAAAGTTGACATATGATATGTCATTCTGTTGAGAGTGTCATTTTCTATCGAATAAAGAAGAAATA